GCACCTGCAGTCCTGCTCCAGGCTGAAGCAGCATCCCAGCTGTGCCGAGGGCACCCAGGCCCCAGCACCATGCCCAACTCCCCGAGTGCCTCCCCGTGATGCTCTGTGCTGGGAGGGTGCAGCCCCTGCTGCAGTGGGGCAGAAGGCTGTGTGCCCATCACCACAGTGGCTGCCTGCTCCTCCCCTGGTGTGCTGTGACACGGCAGTCCCTTGCCTGTGGGAGCCCCTGGTGCTGGCCTGGCCTGGCCCCCACACTGTGCCAGGGTGGCAGCCCTGGGCAAGCAGCCCCTGCAGGTGCCCTTGGAGAGCTGGCTTCAAGTGAGGCCCACGTCTGTTTCCCTGCATTTAATAAGTCTGCTGGATACTGCCCACTGACAATTAAATGGTTTGTCTTCAGGAAACTGGAGCTGTAGAGACCCTGACTTTTTGGGTTTCAGATGCTATTTGATGCTTCAGGGGGTCTTTGTCCAAAAAGGTGGATCCTGGGCAGCACCTGTGGCTCTTCAGGGTCTTCCACTCCAGGAAATTGATCTGAGTGAGAACATGCAGGTCTTTTTCTAGAGTTACTTTTTCTATGATTCATAGAGTAATTCTATTGAGATTTGGGTTTTTTCGGTGCTGGCAAAAGATATGGAACAAAGGAGCCCCAAACAAAAATCTGTCTGGCATGCCTGTCAGAGATGCCTTGATTTCTGCCAGTCCTCCAGCTGCTGGTTCCATCTGTTGTCTCCTGATTTTTTTATCACTTGCAACCACCTTAGGGCACAAGCCACTTCTGTGTGTGCGAATCTAAAGGGACTGGTATGACACAATACAAATCCTCAATGCTTCAGCAATACTACATATAATATTAAAAATGCTCAGGAAGAGATTTCCAGCCACAACTCAAAGACACTTCTAATCAATGAATAATCAAGCATTCCTTACACTCTAGTTAAACATATGTGGCAGCTCTGGTTTTTGTACTGAAGTGTCTCTATTGTTACCTTAATAGTTTTCTTTTTCCCAAACATCCCTACAGGGCAGTTTCAGAGCATTTGATTGGCAGTGCCTGTCTGTGCATGCCCACTGGTACATGCTGATCTTCTGAGTAAGAAATGAGCTGGTGGACAATGACTTTGAATCACCAAGGGTTACTTGTTCATCAACATTTCATTGTTGTCTTCTCTTGACCCTACAGCTGCTCCTCCCAGTGTGACTTGCCTCAGTCTCTCTTCCTCTTCCCAGTCTGGTTTCCCATTTTCATTCCTCCTCCCTTTCCCACAAGCCAGATTTTTTCATGCTCTGTCATGCAGGGCTGGGAGTGCACCCAGCCTCTGCCAGGCACGTCCAGGGCTTGGTCACAGCCTCCTGTTGTCATCTGCAATGCTGTGCTGGGCTACCTTGCCACTGTGAGACAGCACACACAGGTAGTCTAGAAGGCTGATTTCATCCTCCAGCCCTTGTCTTCATGAAAAAGTGTAGCTATTGAAAATAGCAGTGCAGTTGAAGAGATGTCATATTTACACAAGCGATGCCATGCTTGTTTGGTGTGCTTATGTTGCTACTGATTTTCATACAAGAAGTGGGGGGTAGCCTTTATTTTTGTTGTCTGCATTTATGCTATGCAAACTTCTTCCACAATTGATGGTGGTCCACAGTTCTCAAAGTAAAAGACCACCCTTCTAGTTGGCATGCTTGTACTCTGTGTAGAAAAAGCCTAATAAATCACAGAAAGATAGAAGATGGGAAAATACAGCTGCTGTGTCATTGTACTGCAGATTAAATCACATTTATGATTTTCAGCAGCAACAAGAACAGCAAAGTCAGTAAAAAACATTGCAGAAGTACATGCAGTTTCGAGGCAGCCACATGGTAGACAAAAAGGCTTCCCCAAGCCTAACAAATAAGCTGTCTTGTTGGGGAGGTCTGTTTCAGATACGGAGGGAGATATGAGGCAGCACATGCTCTGCATTTTCTATCTATGTAGGCTTGGTTGCTCATTTTATTTTAAAATAGCTTCAAAATGAGAAACATATATCTCCCACCTAGGTGAATAGTTTTGTTTCAGTCCAGAGTGTGGTATCTCAATTTCAGCTGCAAAGATTTTGGCTCAAGATGCCAGGCCCTGGACTAGAACAGCTGAGAAGTGGACATGTGCTCTTCTGCCATCCCTGCTGAGGAGAGGGGGAGGTCAGGAAATCAAATGTTGGGGTTAGTAACACAATACACCACAGTAGGAGAATTCACCAGGGCTCATTGGTTGGATCCTGAACACATCTGAGAGCACATTCAAAGTCTTTTGCTTTGGTGTGGGGTTTGAGGCTTTTTAAAACTGGTTTGGTTCCTTGGGTTTTTTTTATTTCTTTTTTCAGTGGACTGAGCTCCTCTATGGATTTCACTCCAGGGAGCTGTGGAAGAGCTGGCCTGTTCTCCATGGGGGAACTGCAGGACGATGTAACAAGGACTAACAGAACTCTGAAGTAGATGACCTGCAGCCACATTAATTATTGATCATGTTAGCAGTTGATGAGTTATGCTAAATTGATCTGTGGCAAGATAATGTGAATTAAAAGCTGCTTAAATATTTAGTTTTGGGCTCTTTCTATATGGCAGGAATTTGAATGAAAAGCTACACAGGAGTCATGGCTGGAATCAACTTTTCAGTAAAGACAAGCTGTCAGAATGAAAGGTACTATCTAAATGTAAATAATGATTTATTAGAGGAGGAATCTCTTGCAGGTAAACATTTTAATGGAGGACTGGGGATCCTTCCTCACAAAATTCTCTAAAGGTGGGATGATAGATTAAGATTTTCTTGTTATTAATTTAATTCCTCCATATTTTACTTTAATTAAATTCTGCTGCATCTGAGGTAGTGCACAAAGCATTGTAGGGAAAAAGAGAGACTAAATGCCTGTAGGAAGTGAGGAGGACTATTAGCTGAAACTCCATATGTTTGTTGCAGCACTGCAATGCTGTACAGCTGGAGCACAGCTTGAGTGAAATGAATCCGTAGATGACTGGTGAGAGGAAGTAAGGGGGCTAATTCTGACATTGGATACATACATGTGTGTGTGTGTGTGTGTGTGTGATGACTCTGCACAGGGGCTTGTAACAGAAGGGAGCCAGTGCACTGAGCTAAAGTGCCTTTGCCAGTGAGTTAAGTCCCACTGAAGAAAAAGGTCGGCATCAGTACCCCTGAAGAAGAGCTGCTCAGATCCCCATCAGCATGCTCAGGTCCTACTGCATTGCCTCACAAACTATTTTGAAAGACTTTATGATGTTATTAATAGTTTTGAAGGCTGACATGCATTCTTGGTTGGTTTAGGTGCTGCAGTTCCAAATAAATCCTTCCCTGACTTCTCCTAGCCTTTCTACAAAGAAACATCCTTAATGTAAAGCAGTCTTGGTCCTGAAGTAGAAATGTGTTTTATTTTACCAGATTAATGCAAACAGGCTTGAGTTATCTTTAGTGAGAAGAGGAGGCTCCTGCCTACTGTAGTTTCTTCCTTACAGTTCGTCTGACTTCATTCCTTCATGTACCAGAGAGCACTCTGGCATTCAAGGGTATTTGTCTTGTTTTTTTCTCACCCTTCACAAAAGCTGTCCTCTGCTTAACATGCACATTTTTTCCTTCGGAGCCATTTTCCTCTGTAGGCTCTCTGAGCTGGCCAGCTGCCAAACAGTAGGGTGAGCTGCATGAAAAAGCCTTGATCATTGACAGGCTGTCTTACAATTTCTTTCTTGTATTCAAGATGCAGATGGATGTTATTAGAAAGGTTTTTACTTCGAAGTGCGCGGCTTGTCCACATGGCCGAGATTAGTGCTCAATACTCATATAATGCTTTTCATCCTCAAAAGGGCTTTACAAGCTCCAGCCCCCAAAACACCCCCACAAGGTAGGTGCATGAGTTTTGTTATATGCTTTACAACAAGGAGGGACACATGTTAGTAACTTGTTCAAAGATGTATAGAACAGCAAGCATTATAAAGAAAGGAATTATTTACACTTTCCTAATGTTCTTCTGTGAAGTGTGCTATGAAAAAAACAAATTAAAAGACTTCACCATGGCAACATGTCTTCCCCCATGAAAGAAGTGATTAGTGACATCAAAAATTAAAATGTATCTCAGGTTATAGTACTACTAGATAAAAATGCAACATTTCTAAAATTTATGAGGCCAAATATGCTACTGCACTAAGCTTCAATTAATAGAACAGGCAGAACTGGAGCCTACAGGGATCGTCAAAGAAACTCAAATTTGATAGAAGATTTGGAGCACTTGCCTCAAACCATACTTCAAAACAGAGGGAAATGATTATAGGAAGAATGATGAAAAATGCCTTCTCAGTTGAAAGGACAGTACAGGATTATTTTTTTCCTCTGCTTTAACTGCATGATTATAATTAAAACACTCCAGTAACCTGAACAGTCACAGTATGAGCTCTCTTCCACTGAAAATCCTTGTGAGGAGGCTGAAATAAGCTGTAGCCATAAAAGATGTCTTTATAATGATGTATTTGCACTGAGCTTCTACTGGCATGACTACACTGGCATGCTTGACCAAGCCAGTGGAAGTGTCCAGTGCTGACCAGCACACATGACCTGGCCAGGGCCACTATGGTTTCTAAACTAGGTTGGCAAGACCTCGAAGGCTGTCTGATAATCATCATTTAAGGTCTTTGTAACCTCAGTGGGCCTTAGGGCCTGCACAGGTAGCTGGAAAAAGTGGCTCAGAAAACAGTAGCCAACTTGGCCCCATAAGGAATAGTTGATAAAGCTGTGAGATGGTGAGGCACTTCAGAATAAATCAGCAGGGCCGAGCTGGGGGAGTCTACAGGCAGGAGGGTTTGCTCCACAGACACCTACTTTATGCTTTCTGGCTAAATAGGTTGCAAATAGCCTGTCTAGCCCAAGTCCTGAGGAGGGTAAAGCTTGACAGGCTAAAGCAAGTGTATATTTTAATTCTGTTCTATCTTCCCTATTTTTTGACACAGCTTTGTTTTCTTTCAGATTATGTTTTTTCCCCCACTGATTGAATACTTGCATAGTTTTGTTGATTGAATGAAGGACTGCAGCATCTCAGGAAAGATGTTGTAACTGAACTCTGGTGTGTCAGGTAGGACTGCATGGTTGGTGCTGCGTACAGCAGGGTGAAAGATTGGAATGGTATAAACTATTCATGCTTTTTTAACCCCCAAAAAGTTTCTTATTTTTTTTCCAGAATACTTTGACATTCCATCTTATCTCCCTCTTGTTTCCCTGGGAAAGGTATCAGGCCCAAAACGTACTGTGGAGAAAAGGGAAAAGTTTGATGGTTTGATGACTACTATACAGTGTTTCAGGTAAATTCAGGGAAATGATGGGCACGTAAATTAATGAAATTTTCTTAAGGGAAATTACAAGTGGAACAAGTTATCACAATTTCATGGTTCCTACATCCTTAGCCTTTAATGCCAGCTACCCTATTTCACTTTATAATTGTGCAAGTAAGTGCATCTAGGCCAATTAAGTATTTTCAGTTGCCTTCAAAAGAGTTGCAAATGTCCACTAGAAGATGGAGATACCATATAATTTAACCTTAATCATTTAGGTTTAGGGTTAAGAGATGCTTTTTCAGGTCCATGACTTACCTGTATGGTTTTGAAGAAAAGACATACATGTGCTCATACCATGAGGTATTTTAGTGAATAGCTCAAAGCTCTATATTGCTTTGGATATCTTCAGTACTTTAATTTCTCTTAAAAATTTACTAAAACAAAGGTCTGCAAGCACTGCAGAATGGGTCCAGTCCACCATAGTCAAATTTTTTCTCAAATGCTATCACATCTTCATTCACCTAAAAATTCCTTTCTTATTTTCCACAAAATCAGCCTTGGAACCTTCAGGCTTGAGGCTCCCACAAAGTGAAATGCAACTCAATTGCCACATGCACAAATCTTTTAAGATCTTACCACAGTAGTAAGATACTTCCCCTAACTTCAGTATTGGTCTCCAAATTCAAATGAACTGAATAGCTGTAGCATTATTGATGATTTAAGGAAAAAAAAAAAGGTAAGAATTTTTTGCTTGAAAGGCCTCTTTTTGCACTTTGAAGATCTGCTGATACATGTTTTTAACTGATTGTATTTACATTGACCAGGAGTATCAACCCACTTTCTGGGTCAGAGATTCACACATAAGGTGAGAGGGACCCTCACTGAGAGTATATTAGTGATGAGTGTGGGTTAAGGATTGCAGGTACTTCAAATAAAACTTCAGAAAGTCTGAAAATAAACAAAATATCCATTCAAATACTCGACTTCTGGGGCACTGAGAGTATTTTTGTAACACAAGGGACCAAGGCAGATTGATTAAAGCTGAATTTTTCTCCTTCTTCAACTCCTCTGCTCCACAGCAAGAGGAACCTAAGTTCATACCTGAATGCAGTAGTAATGCAAAGGCTCGAGGCAACATTGTTAGCTACTCACATCAACGGAATGAAGTTATACAGCTCACTTCCACCTGAGAGAAGAACTGTTTTAACAGTTCCTGCGTTGCTAACAAGACACAGATGTCGCCATTGGGCAAACAGGGCCAAGATTGTTTTGTTTTTCGTCAGGCAGCTCTTCCTGGGGCACAGCTGAGTGCAAGTCAGAGAGGTGTCTCTCTCTGAGGGTTTCAAACAGTGCATTCTTTTTTCTTTTAGCTAGAGACCATCCTCTGTCGCAGCACTGTGAGAACTCCCTAAAAGCCCAGCAGGGATTAGAGACAGGGAGAGGGTCCTTAGCTTTTTAAAACTATCAGAATTTTGTTAGTCTCATTGAAAGACAGCTGAGGACCTTTAATCAGCTGAGGACCTGGGCTGTAAAAAAAAGGTACAGTGAAGCAGGAGAATGATCCAGCCCAGCTCTTCTCCCACTGAAGAATCTGCTTCCTCATGTGAACGTGGCTTGAGCACAAACAAGAGCATGTGGATGCCAATCTCCACCCTCCAGTTTATTTGCAGGAGGGTACTTGTGAAGAATTTCAAGACTTCCTTATCCCAAAGGCTAAATACACAGGACTGTCTCCATTCCAGCTAGCTTGAGCTGAAGGAGGAGAGATTAAATATGGATAACAGGACTGCGGTTACTGTGGCAGTGCACAGAGCCCTCATGCCAGTCAGGTGCCAGCATATGTCAGCAGTCTTGTAAGTGGCTAATAAAAAAATCAATAAAATAAAAAATTTTAAAAAATAGTTTCCTCCAACGAAATCTTGGTGAGTTCCTGTGTTTTTCAAAAGTTACATCTTCCAGAGGGTCATTTATTTGCCACAAAGCGTTAGTCTCAACTACCTCTTTCTGTCCTCAACTACCTCTTTCTGTCCAATTACTTCCCACATCTCAGTTTCTCTTCCTGACCTAGAAAATTATTTACAAGATATACTTGGTTGGCTACAGATCTTCAACTGCAACTTCCCTCTGCTACTTGCTCTGCTAAGCACAGCAACAAAGACAGAGGCTTTTTCTTCTTATTTTATTTTTTTTTTCTAGAAAGAAAAAGTGAAACAGGCAGAGTGTTCCCATGTTTTTCCACCAGTGGCACAAGAAGGCAATGGTGAATGTTCTCAGCACAAATCAGTTGTTGCAGGAGTAGGAAGATGGTGTTTATCACAGATAGCTGCTGAATGTTTAAAGAGTATTATGAGTATCTGTTACATAAATGAAACAAATAACAAAATTAACATAAAAACCCTGAGGGAAAGTGATAAGTTATTGCTGTCTTAGATCCAAGAAACACAAGGAATACATTGTGTAAACTTCTACCTCAGAGCTAGTGACTGCTTGAGTGCAGTACCGCTTATTTTTGTCTGGTCCTTCATGTCTCTGTTCTTGTGTTACTGGAGGATTTCTTGCTCCATCTGAATTTAATCATTGAATTTATCATTATGCATTTGTACAGAAGCTGAAGGTTACAGTGGAAAAAGGGATCTCTTTGTATTAAGTTCATTACAAAAGGAAAGGAATAGAGAGCCTTAATTTTCACTGCTGACATTAACAGAGATTGTAGAGTCTGCGAAATAAATTTGGCCATAATAGTGTTTTGAACCTGAGGTGTGTAATTTTTTTATGATCTGTTAAGGGTAATCTTTGAATACAGTGAGGAGCTCTGCACTCACAAGGTCAGGCATAATGTCATTAAATTGTCCAGAATGGCCAAAACAATTTCACTATAAGCTTAGACCACCTTGGTAGCTTAACTCAGTGTCCATCTACCTGGGATATGCTTTCTTTGGATAGAGTAAAATTAGATTTTAAGACTCTTTTATTCCAGTTACTGGATGGTCTCTTCCTGGAAGAATAGATGGAACACAAATCGATGGAGTCTGGTATCACTGATTTGTAAGTAACAAAAATACCGACTTTTATAGAATTCACTGAACTTAAAGCTGATTCTATCCATTTAAATTGGTACCTAGTACTTGTCACATTATGATATAGGTGTGAATGTGCTCTGCCAGGATATGTATGCACAGCAGAGAAACATTCACTTAAGTACACACCCACACATCCCCATATGCTTTGAACAGATCTAAATGGTGACTGAAGGATGAAGAAGGCTGAGCCACATAAACATTATCCACAATGACTATTAATTTCAAGGCAAGGCAATAATTTATAAAGGTTGTTAGGAAGCAATGTAAATGCAAATGCTCTTCTAATAAGTGCCAGGAGTATTATGTTGGAACATGTTTGTGATTCACCATCGTGTGTTAAGCAGGGAAGAGCGTGTATGATTCCTGTGGAAGATGGTGACAAGAGTAAAGAGGTGAAAACTGACAGGAATGTGGCGTTCGGGGAAGCAGTCCAAGGAAGAGCTCTAGCAAGGGCTGACTTAGCAGTGCAGTAAGCAGTGCTTGGTGCTGGAGTGGCAATAGCTGGAATAATTAATCAATAATTCATTATGGAAAAATGCTACCAGCTGTAAACTTAATTTGTAGAATAATGCCCTCCAGTAATGCCAAAAGTTATAAATATATTCATATTTTTTGAAAGAGCTAGTACAAGCTGAAGCCAAATGCTTCAATCATATATAATATAATATATAATAAAGTTGATTTAAAAAAAAAAAAGAATATGTTTCTGATGGCAGTCAGTGAAAATTAGGCAATTAGTATAGAATCCCAGTACTGAAAATAGCACATTTAGAGTGAAAGGTCTTAATAACAATGTTAACAACATTTTTTTTCTCACATAAATGTTTTATATCTTGGTGCAGGAATAAAGCTCCTATCTCCTATGTGTTTCATTTTCCTAGCAGAGCTTTACATATTTTATTTATCATTCTGCATGATCTATTAGATAACTTTATCATCTAGTATTTTATGAGAAGCAGTATTGTTGGATATTAATAATCATCCAGATATCTATCATTAATATGTATGAATCAAATTATTTTAACGACTTGGCCAGATTTGAATAAATAGTTAGCCTGTCTATATTTAGACAATTTCTACTTTTGATGCTTTGGTACAATCATGTAATATTTGGGTTGTAGAAACTTCAAAAGATTATTTTAAATAATGAAATTACAGTTATTTCAGAAAGAGTAAGCTTGTAATTTCTTTTAGGAAATTTCTTGGTTTAAAATAAAAACACTGAAATGTAAGTTTTGACTTTAATTTGTTCAGTAATTTAAAGTTCAAAGGCAATGAGTGAGAATGAAATGGGTTTTTTTCTTATTTGGGGTGTCTTTTACTGAAATTTTATTATTAGAAATTGTATTATTAGAAATATATGTTACACCAAATATACAGATCATGGGACTGTTACGATGTACAGTTGAAATCATTGAAATTGTTCCTATGTATGTCCTGCCTCCATTAGTTTGTGGATGACTATTTGTAAAGGAGTGGAGTGCATTTTTTAACCTATACATTATTCAGAAAGTGTCATCTATCTAAAACAACACTGGCTTTAGTATCTCTGATACCTTTGCCACGTGTAGCAGGTGCAATTTGAGACCCACATAGAACATCTCTCTGTGCTGGCAGCCTGTCCCAGAGCACAGCAGGACCGAAGTACTGACTTATTGCTGGGTGCTTTGTACTGTCCCACTGAACCAACCTCTTTCACCACACGCCCTGATAATGACAAAAGATGTTATTTCACTCTTTCTCTCTGTGGTCCATGTTCTGTTTAAAAAAACCCTCAAAATGCTGCTACTGTTACTAGAAACAGCACTTTGCTGTGCTTCCCTGTGTCTCAGAATACTTAGTACCTAAGAAGTTTAGTGCTACTTTTGTGTCTCTTTTCACAGAAGGAGAAGCTGGGGCAGATGTTGACCTGAGATCTGGAGCACACCTTCCCAGTGGGGGTACCAGGATAGAAGACCTCCCATCATCACTTTTACTCCTGAGGGACGAGGGGCAGACCTGTACTGTGGTCACAAGTGCAGAAGAAGTTCGTGTAGATGTTCCTGAGCTTCAGAAATACACACTCGACCTTCAAGAGTTGCTGCCAATTTGTCCAGTGTTCACACAGTGTGTAGCACAGGCCTCCTGCTATGCCTCGTGAGTGCTGCTGCAGTACAGCCACCTTTCCTTTTGTCTGGGCACCTTTATCAGTACAGCTGAAGGGAACACTGTGTGGACTGTGAATTCCTCTCCAAGATCATGTAAATTCTTGGACGGTACATGCTGTTGCACTTAGTATTAATCTAACTAGCTAAAGCTGGTTTGCATACATCTGCAGCTACAGCAGAAGTTTAATGATAAATATTCCCAAATGTAGCCATGCAAATAGTGGCAAATATTGAATAAATGCATGAAATGCATTTAGTAAGTAAAAAAATCTTCTGTTTTTCCGTCAAGAAAAAAACAAAGGATGATTTTTCCTTTATTGCACAGGCCAGGTTTTCTTATGAGTATAAAGGGATCATAAAACCTATGGTAAATATTTGAGGATTATTTTACTATGGTCTGTATTAAGCTACTGATACCCTTCTATCCTACCCTCTGGATCAGGGGGGTAGAGTGGTTGCTCCATATTATGCCCATACATAAGTGATTACTGGTTGGCAAATAGCCACAATAACAGAGGACATTATGTAAAAAATTAATAGACAAAACCACCCAAACAGATGAACAAACAAACTCACATGCTCTTCACCACAGTGCAAAAGGTCCTAAAAGCTGGAATTGCAAATGGTAGCAATCCCAGCCATGTATAAATCCCAAAAAGGGAGAGACGTTCTTGGAAATGGTGCCACCCCTAAAGAGAGAGCATAGAGGCTACTCTTATTTGAAGGATAAGATCATCTCCCCTTGGTAGTGGTGTTACTTGTACCTAAAATAATTCATCTTTGACTTAAAATCCTACAGAATTCTTCTGCCTGGTCCAAAGGGGACAACTGCTGTTCTCGAGGTCAGCTCTGGAGGGGTTCACCAGGCTCTGTTCCCCTATAACTGTCTACCTCCATGAATGGTTATGGAATGATCTTTTTATGGCTCCGAGAAGGTGCCAGGAGAGAGGGAGAGGGGCAATTCTGAGGGCTGGAGTTTGGCTGCATGAGTCTGCTTCAGCTGCCATGCCATCTCCAGGAGAGAGAGATGAAAATAAGTACCTACCCAAAGAAATGGGAGAAAAGAGCATCCCTGGGCTTATAACCAAACAGAGTGTATATAATTTACTACACTCCCTCAAAGTGGCAATGTTTTATTTCTTACCATGCCAGACTGGTGCAGCCCAAGCAAACCAAGTGTTTAACTGTGGGTGACTAACTACAGGTGTAATGAATTAAAAGACATGTGGCTAAGCCAAGTGCAAGCTTTTCAAAGTGTGAGCATCTTCTTAAAAATGAGGTTTAGCAAATGAACAAAATGCTCCCAGAACTGCTGAATTTGTCTTCTTAGCATTTTAGTTACTGTTTGACCTGACCATTTCAAATAACCACTCAAAAGAAATGGACATATTCAGGAGGGCAGATACCCTGTATTTCTAAGGCAAAATATTTCTATAAAATAACACAGTGATTGCTTATAGCTATCCAAAAAGATATTGTGCTGAGCTGTCATATTTTGTGTTGCAGCCTTTTCATACTGTTGAAATATCAACACTATATGTACTGCATGTGTATAGTTAACTCTTGGTTTCCTGGTATAAGATGGGTAGGAAACCTGTATAATGTATTAACATGACCATAAATACACCCCCCCCCCCCAAAAAAAAAATCCATAATAAATAAGGGTAAGGATAGATAATACAGTCTTGAAGAGTAACTAATAAGCCAAATTAATGGCATGTCCGGAACTATATGTGTATTTTAAATTATACTGATTTTTTTGGTTGAAGCTGGAAAACAGGAAGACAATGAGACTAAGAGAAAATGTAAGTTGCATAAACATTTGACACTGTAAACTATATTTTGTTGAATACTTGTAGTGAAAAATAGGGGTTTCTGGAGATAATTGGATGCTTTCTTTAATAATAACTGTCCTTACTCTAAATTTTGATGATTATTTACCAATTTATTGTTTATTTTTTTTTCTATTCAGAAACAACTAGACTAATTTCAGCAAGAGAAAAAACCTAGCATAAAGGACAGGCTAGTAACCATCATGGAGGATATGAATAATCAGAAGTATTTGCATTATACAAATATGTTGCTTACAGACACTAAAAAAGGTGTTAACACAACACATCCTGAAATACTATTGAGAAATTATTGAGTATATTTGTACATAGTTCTATGTACAATTCTCTTCTGTCATTTATTCATTCATTCATTCCCATTTATTGCAGTTCATGTAGTGTGTGATAGGCCTTTGACACAGATCTATAACCATCGAGATTTGTGACACTGAGAAGAATACAATGAGAGCCCCCCAGATCCCATCCTCTGAAGCAAAATATCCCTGTGAATCACAGGTATTGTGTTACCAGACAGCACAGCAAAAAATTAACCAGAGCAAAACACTCGACTTGATGCTGTTACAGCTAATAGGACTGAAATGAAAGATAATTGCATATTAAAATAGAGTGGGTAGCTCTGTTTTGATATAGAGATATAAAGATGTCAGGCAAGCTAGGCTGCAGCAGCAGGCGATGGGTGCCCTGAAGTGATTGAGGAGTGAAGCCCAAGACAGCATTCCTCACATTCCTGTGGCACTCCTCCTATACATATGCCCCACAAAAAAAGGGAATTCCAGCACTCCGGATTGGTGAGCTGAGCTTCAGAAAAGCTGGCACTTTTCTATAGCTGCAGGCTTGATTAATTTGAAGGAATTATTATCATCTCTGGAAGATGAACACGAGGCATATTTAAACTGTTATTTTTTAGGGCAAAGGACGTGACATTTCCAATCTGTTACAAAAAAAAAAAAGAAAAAAGAAAAAAAGAAAAAAGAATCTCCCATCAGGATTTCTAGTAAGCACCAATAAGCAAGATGTAGAGAATGTGGAACACTCCCTAGTATTTTCCCAAGATCTGCCCAGAATAATTGGTATAACTGCAAAAATATTTTGCTGACACATATGAGTGGGATTAGCCCAAAGAGCTATCTTTGTTAATGAGCCATATCTAGAAATTCAGTAGGTTTAGTAGATTACTATCTGAAGACACAGCATTTTTGAGAGCCACTTATGTCTAAAAGTGTAACATTTTTTTCTCCTGGGACTAGCAGTGTATGTTCAGTAAGGAAATGATGGTTATCCCTGGGAATTTTCACAAATAAAAAAAAAAATCAAATAAAGATGACAGTACCTTACTTGGAATTGAAATGTGACTGCTAGTGACTGGGAATTAAACAGATTTATTAGTGTTGACATTATTTACATTGCGCGATCCGTATCAGCCAAGGGTACACATCACTTGTGAAAGCAAATACATTAATAGCATTACCCCGCCGTTAATGGCACGTTAATAACACTGCCATGATTCGCGTTTGTCGGGCTGCTGCTGAGACGTGCTCGGAGTCGTGGTAAACAAAGAAAATCAGCCATGTTGCGAGACCCTTTATTCTTTAAAAACTTAGGTTCACGTGAGAAGAATGCGCCGCTAGATAACCCCCAGAACAGTGATAAATTAACCATTTCACACCCTCCCCTTCCTCGTTTTTTACCCCGTATAGCAATGACAGAGGGGACAGCCGGCTGATAGGGATTACTTCTGAGGAGCGTGACAACAGGTGGCCTCCCCGAAGTCACTAGATCCGGCAGATCAAGTCTTTATTTATATTTTTTTTCGGCGTCCGGCTTGCCCATCGGCGCTATCCACGCACAGGGTGCACCGCCGAAGCTGCGCTGATGCGCGTCCCTCGGGACCGTGGCGGCAGCCGCTCGGACCTCTTGTTTTTTGTGGTGAAACCCGGCAAGGATGCGTTCCCCGGGGGGCAGGTTACCCAGGCAGCCGGAGGGGACCCCGGCGGGCGCGACCCCCGGCGACCCGCCC